TATATATATATATATATATATATATATATATATATATATATATAAATGTGACGAAATTTAACTGGGACCTGCCCAACGTGTGCCCGTTGGTTTGGACCCAGCGTTCTGACGCTTAACTAGTAACACGTCTGTGCAAGCCAGCAAGTTTGCACAGCTGAACTTTCCCCTGGTAAAAACCAGGAGCACATCCGTACTGACCTTCTCAACCTGGTCCACTGCCAAAGATTTGATGGAAGCGCAAAAGCACTTCCCTGTATCCTACAAAAGGGGACACATTTCACAAAATGTGTCCTTCATTACCTTGAAAATAATTTTTACAGCTGAGTAAAAAATCGCTTACTTCTGTTAAAAAAAAGATCACATATTACCGCTGCAACCATGAACTAACTTATAACCTTAACCACTAAACTGAAAATTCTTGTTTATTTGCCAATTTCTAAGCTATAGTCCATCACCTATTGTAAGTGAAAGCCTCAGTCTGTAATAGGACCAGGAGAGATCCTTGCACAGAACAGTCATATTTTATTCATGCTTCATTCATGTAGTAGCCTCTTACACCTCCTGCTTTTCCTCTAACTTAATTTTTAAACAACTTATAGATATTATAAATGGCTAACTTCATCAGATAGTAAAATTATCTACAACTAAATCAGAATATTTCTAGTTTGTATCAGCCTGTTTCCTATTATGCATTCACCTTGAAAAAATGAAGTCCGACCAACTTAAAACTTTAGAGCATAAAATATTCTAAATATGTTTTTTTAAGCTTTGAATGTGCTTTGCTTTAAGGTGTTTCTCATATTTGTTCTTAGGCCTTCAAGTGGTGTTGAAGTCCATTATGAAAGCGATGGTACCTCTGCTCCAGATCGGAATGCTGCTTTTCTTCGCCATTCTCATGTTTGCTATCATTGGCCTGGACTTCTACATTGGCAAATTTCATCGAACATGCTTCAAGAATGGAACAAGTAAGCAAGATCAACACAAATAGGGTTTCATCTAAATTCATGACCCTCTTGAACACTTATCAGTTTGAAAGGAGAATTTTTTTAAGTGTTAACTAAAGTGATGAATCTGTAGCTTTTCCAGCTATAATACTTGTTTGTTTAAAGGCACTCCTATGCTTCTTATGCATATCAGTGAGTCACATTTGATGGATTGTGGGACCTGCAGACAGACAATATCCCAAAAGATCTGTGTTTTTTGAGTTTGTCAGCTTTTTATTCATCATAAGTTGATCTGCCTCAAAGCTGCAAGCTACAAATAATTTCTTTATTACAGACCCAATGTGAAAATCTGGACTTTCTTTTCTTTGGTGTGTTTAACTCTGTATATATGTGTGTGTGTGTTTATGGTTATAGATGAGCAGGTGGCAGATTTCCCTTGTGGACCTGAACCTCCAGCAAGGACCTGTGGCAAAGGGAATATCTGTGGAGAGTACTGGCTTGGACCTAACTTTGGGATCACAAACTTTGACAACATCCTGTTTGCCATTCTCACTGTTTTCCAGTGTATCACCATGGAAGGATGGGTGGACATCCTGTACAATGTGAGTTTTACTACAGAAAACATCTGTATTGAGATAAATAGTTCCAGATGTGTGGTTTGATGTCTTTGGATCGGATCAGATCAGGTCTTCTTATTTAGCACTCAGGCTATACCGTCTTTAACACTGTTATCTGCATGGTGTCTTTGGCAAATCAGGTTGAATGACATGCTAGGATACCACATTTCCAAATTCATGAGATGTAAATATTTACACTGAAACTGAAATAATTATCAAAGATTTATCTTAAGAATACAGATTTGCAGATAATGAATCCCAGTCTAAGAGCAACTGAGAGCAATACCATGCATGTCTTGAAATCTCTCTCAAAAAAGAGAAAAAAAAGCTTCAGTGTTGCATGTTCTACATTAGTAATTGATTGTTTCCTGCTTAACTCGCTCATAAATGATGCTCAGGTGCTGCAGTATCCATTTTCCTAGCAGGTTTCTACTGGAAAGCCTGTATATCTATGACAGTTACATACTTTATATAAAAGCACAAATACTTATTTTCCTTCTGTCTGACAGCAAATCAAACAAAGTTTTTCATATTTTATGTAATTTATGATTCAATCAAGCACATGTATTTTAATCCCTTCAGACTGCAGGACATGACTAAGGGTTTTGTTTCTGTGCACTTACAAACCAGCAACTTCAGAAAGTTTATTGCTTTTATTGGCGGGTACTTTTACAGATTTCTCACCAAATCACTGAACCCGTCTTGCTGCTGAACAGCATGATGACTGGACACACCCATGGAGTTAGTTCTTACCTATCACTGTATCTTCTGCATCCTCTCCACCAGCAGTGTCTGGGCCCTGGGGGGAAGCGTCTCTAATCTTCATAGACAGTGGCTCATTCTCTCTGTTTTCATCGCCACGTCTTCCTCCTGGGTCCGAGCGCCAAAGACTTTGATTTGTCAATTAAACTTTCTAATACCCACTCTCTTTGTTTGTGAGACTTTCCAGGTTGAATATGCCCTAACCGTAGCCCTAGCAACAGACACATAGACACATAGACTACCATGGTTTTAGGATAGTTAATATATATGTAAATACAGATAGAAAATAGTTTTAAGTGTAATGATAGGGACGAGTCATTAAACCTCTGTGTCTGTGTGTTTGTGTTCAGGCCAATGATGCCTCTGGGAACATGTGGAACTGGCTCTACTTCATCCCTCTCATCATCATTGGGTCGTTCTTCATGCTCAACCTGGTGCTGGGCGTGCTGTCAGGGTGAGTACGGACTGCAAACAGACCTGAACAGAGGGCTCTCTTCTTCTGTACAATACAAGCAGGTTTTTAAAAAAAAAAATTCTCAACCAAACATGCTTGGTTGAGAGCATGTTTGGTATAAAACTACCCTTTTATAGAGGTAATTGAAAACACATTAGTTACATATTCTCTGCTTTTTCTCATAACTGTCTGCAAGGATAACATCTGCAGATGAGCAGTGCAGACCTTGCACTGCACTGTTCATTTGTCATTTGCCAAACTACTTGACCTCTACACCAATCAAAAGCCATTTTATTTTAATCCCCTTTTATAAGAAATCCCATGTAGCAAGTCAATCTTCGCACTATTCAGCTCATTAGCTAATATTAGGATTTTGGACTGGCAGACTGTTGTTTTAAGTTGTGTGCATAGCAGACAGAATATAAAATAGCCATTAAAGCCATTTGTTTAATCAACATGGCATTAAACTCACATTAAAATCAAATACAATTCATACTGATTAAGTGTATTGTAAGATCTAAAAATGTAGTTGCAGTCAAATGTAAAATCTGTTGTCCAACATCATCTGCATTGTTTCCTTTTTTCTGGGTTATGGAGGAAACAATTTAAAACAGGTAAAGTTTACTCCATTACTCAAACTTTAAATGTATAATCTTTATATACATTAGAAGGGTTATACATTTACAATGTGTAACCTAATCTGGAACAAATTAATAAATTTGATCAAGTGTTTGAAAATAATTGCATCTTTGCTGTCTAAGCATTTTTTGTTTTTATTTTGTGGGTGTTTTTTTTTTTTTTTAATTTTGTTGAGATTTGCTTTAAAAGCAGAGAAGAGCTGTTCACTGGGTTACATTTGAAAATGTTCATGTTCATCTTTTAATAGAAATGTGAAGAGCAAATTTATGTTAATTCAGTTGCTCCCAACAGAGATAAAATATAAATGTTTTGCTGTTCAGCTTTATGCACTTCTTTGTTTACAATGAGTGAGACTATGAGGGAGGCTAGAAGATCTGATTTGTCCAACTTCCTCCGTCCACGGGTGTCTGAAAAACAAAAGTTTAGTTATCTGCAAATTCAAAATAACGTTTTAAAATGTTTATGCATTTAACTGGTTGAATTATTCTTAATCATTTGATATACACATACATTTTTTATTGTACTTCGTCAACAGATAGAAACACTGTATGGAAGCCTTAGAGGGTAGTTAGCCTTCACCTGCCTCCTCTTCGCTGTTGTTGCTCAGATCTCCGGTTCTCTCTGTGGAAGTTGTCAGAAGGATTTACACTGAACTGGTGAAGTGAAGGTCATTGATGCTGTCCGACTGGGCCCTGCAGGGGCCGTGTCTCTGTTGAAAGGCAATGATCTGATCTTTATAGGGCGAGGAGTGTGGGGGCACAGACATGCAGGTTTCAGAGGCCTTAGACCCCCAGGGCCCTCAGGGACATTCACAAAGCTATAATCCCATTGGTGTAGGCAGGCCAAGGACTGATGTGTCAGTTAAATCCAAATAATCATGTACGTAGGAATGTATTTCCACTCATCTTCACTTCTGTGCAGATTAGAACTATGTTTAGTTTATGAAACTGTTGGCTGGGACTGAAACAAACACAACATTTCAGGCATACTTGGTGAAAAATTAATCTTATGGCTCAATCAATTCCTTATTTTTTCTTTTTGTTGTTTCGTATCATTTTCTACAGTTCTGGCCCTTAAGACAATAGAATCCGGCTCTCAAATACATGATCTGCCTGATAAAGTTGAACTGGAACATTTTTACCACTCCTTATGAAATGATTGTAACAATATGATTTATTCTTGATAGTTGACTTTTTGATATGATATACATTTTATCAGTCTAGTTGTATCACAGTGAAAATAAACCACAGTGAAAAATATTGAGTTCATGGGCAGTAGTGGATGTGATTGCTTCCTGCTTCCAGTAACAGGAACTCTCTGCTTGAGTTCTGTAAAACTCAGTATTTGTAGGGTTTTATTAAGAATTGAGCAGGAGTATTACAGTGTCTGCTTGTGTGAACGTAGCACAAGAAACCATTGCGAGTGATATGAATATTTTTACATATATAGGGAGTACATGTGAAAGCAGCAGTCATATGTGCAGAACAATCCAAGGTTCAGCAAACCATGTCGAATGTTACCTGTTTTCTTTCTGTGGGGAAGCAGGTAAGCTGACCAGGCTGTTCATGTGATGTAAAAGAAATCATGACTCATCAGACCAGACCTTCTGTGTCCTGGTCTGATCCCCTACCATGGTAACATTCCTTTCCCGTTTCTGTCCTCACATGCACCCATGTGTCATCACCACAGACATTTCAGTCAGTATAGCTCCAGAGAAAGAAAACATTGTGGGCTGTGTGTAAGTGGAAGCGTTGAAGTGTCCTATTTGTTGTAAAGGCAGTGTGATGTGCTCACTCTGAGGAGTATCTGTCAGGAAGTGGAAGAGTGTGGTACTGGAAACTATCTTCCTAGAAACACACACACACTCCTGCAGCCACACATGAAGGTAGTGCCCACAAAATTAGATTGAGAACGGCCCACACACACACACACACACACACACACACACACACACACACACACACACACACACACACACACACACACACACACACACACACACACACACACACACACACACACACACACACACACAAAGTGAGGCAGAAATCCACTGCAATGCAGGATAGAGGTTTCCCCTGGACACACCAATCAGAGAGTGGGAATGGACTGGAGAGGACTGGCTTCCTCTCTCTCTTTCCTTCTACATGCTCCGTCTCTCAGTCTGTCTTCTCCATCTTGAACTTTTTTCCATTTCCTCCGTTCTCTGTAATCTCCTTCATATTTCAGTTCCCTCCCTCCTCATTGAACATGAAAATACACAACTTCTATTGTAAACTCAGCTCAGGTCACTTTATTTATATAGTTTCAAGACAAAGATGATTGGTTATGTAGAATCCAAATGGGTCAAAATTTAGTTCAATTAGTTCAGTTCATTGTAGTGAAATTCAGTCATTGTAGTGTGATGTCTTATTCCAACCATATTGACATATAATGCAATCAATTTCAATTAGCTATAAACCCCCCAAAAAGTTACCTATTCAAGAAAACCAACCCTTGTTCCTCAGTAAGCATGTGGACACAGTGGGAAGGAAATACTCACAGAATTACTGACAGAAAGAAACCTCCAGCAAAACCAGGCTCAGTCACTAATGGCTGAGCCTGGTTCTCAGGTTAGGTGAGCAAAACTGGAAAAACTTTCCTCCACTGTAGGAAGTTAAGAACTCCAGGATCCGTAGTTAGTTTGTTGGTTTTATTTTTCTTCCAAATTTAATAACCATTCTTGTCTGTTTGTGTGTTTTCTTGTTTTCTGGGATTTCTAAAGAGAGTTTGCAAAGGAAAGGGAGCGTGTGGAGAAGAGGCAAGAATTCCTGAAGCTTCGTCGACAGCAGCAGATTGAAAGAGAGCTGACTGGTTATTTGGAGTGGATCTGTAAAGCAGGTTGGTTACTCACACATACACACATACGTCAGCCACAAACACACAATAAAGTTAGTATACAGGAAAGTATTTTATTGGAAACTGTATGAAGTGTAAATGTGTTACAGAAGAGGTGATGCTGGCTGAAGAAGACAAGAACGCTGAGGAGAAGTCTCTGGATGGAGCGTGGTACAAAAGGAAACATAACCCCAACTCTGGTGAGGGCTGCCGTCAGCACAGGCTGACTGCCTCACATCAAATCACAATTCAACAAAGCCAACCAAAGCATTCATTTAAAAATGGAGGAGCTTGTGATCCTCCACCTTTAGTCATAAAATAATTATATTGTAATGTTTATTCAATAAATGCACCAATACAGTGAGCTGATCTACCTGTTATTAAAGAGTATTTTTAAATTGGATGTTATGAGGAGACAAAAGGACCTGCAGAAAGCCTTCCTACGTGAGACGCATCAAATGTCATAGCAGGAAATCATTACTTGGTTCCATTTTTTTGCAGTGCTGAAAAGAACGAAGAAGAGTAAGAATGACCTCATCAATGCAGAAGAAGGGGAGGACCATTTCACTGACATTTCATCAGTTGGTGAGCAGAATATATACAGCATACCTTCTGAATGCCATACAGAATAAAAGACAGAAATAAAACTTTACTGTCACATTGAATGCTCCTAGAATATTGCTGGAGTTTGACGTGAGTGCCATTAAAGGTGAAAATATATATTTGAAGGATTTCTTTTCTTTTCTGAGACATATTTTGTAGCTTCCAGTACTTTCTCTAGATTATGTGGCACTAGTGGTTTGTTTAACCATTGCTTTACATTAAAGAGAACACAGAAAGAAGGATTAGATATGCAGTAAGGAATCCAGGGTGGAACCTCAAACTTGTACATCTTTGTTGCGGATTTACCAAAAACTAATCTAAAATATTGGACCAATATTTAGACAATATTGGTCCAAATAGTGAGTACTCCACAGTTTCTCTAAAGTAACGAGTATTCCACAATTTCTAATATTACTAATAAACCAGAATAATCTGAAAAGTATAGAATTGGTCTAAATAGTGAGTCTCTGGATTCTAAGTTTGTTCTAATTCCTTTTCTGAGTTAAGTAGTAAGTAAGTACTCCACAATTTCTAACAAGTAATGAAAAGAGGAAAGCGCACATTAGGGAAGTATGCACATAGCAACATTCAGACAAAACAAAGACATGAGTGAAAGGCGATGACATCACGGGACCATGAACCTCGTGATGAAGTCCGACATGATGGTGTTATCGAGATGCACTAGAAATTTCCTCTTAGTCTAGATGGTATCAACTTCAAGCACACTAGTGTGTCATTCAGAAAAGTAACTATCACAGTTCTGTACAGTTCTGTACAGACTCAGCTAGGTTGGTGTGTGAGACCTGTGAACTTTATTGGCATCTCTGTGTGTTTCATTCCTACTGCCCCCCCAGGGTCGCCATTTGCACGAGCGAGTGTGAAGAGCAAGAACGAGAGCTCGTCTTACCTGAGGAGGAAGGAGAAGAGAATTCGCTTCACCATCCGCCACCTGGTCAAATCCCAGACGTTTTACTGGACTGTATTATGTCTTGTTGGCCTCAACACACTGTGTGTAGCTATAGTGCACTATGACCAGCCAGAGTGGCTTACATATGCATTATGTGAGTAGCAGTTAACATGTTAATGAGTCAGTTAAGTCTTTTTGAATGACTGATATTAGATTCTATTGGCTCTACTAACCACACATTATGTGAAGTTGTTTTTAAAAGGATAATTTTCTCATCACCAGAATCTCTTTAAAACAAACTACAAATCAAACTCCTCTGGTTAAAACTTGTTAGAAGATCTTCAGATCTGTTGTATTTCTATAATGGTTTAAATATTGTAATAAACTTTTTCAGTGCCATGTACCACAGAATGTAAACGTTACTTGTACTCAATAGTGATAAACCAATTAGCTGGCAAGTAGTCAAAGTTTCCCTTAATTGGCTCTAAATGGTTATTTGTAGGTTTGTATGCATCAGCTAACAACATGATGCATTTGAATTGGCTTTCACTAAAAATGTTAAAAAGAAATGCTTTGATCCATAAAGAAGTGGATAATTTTGTCAGTCTCTCAACAAGTAATTATCCTGATCAAGTGCACATTTTTCTTCTAAGGTCAAAAGTGTTTTGAATTAGTTTGCTGAATTAAAAAATGTCACATAGATCAACTTGTATGAGTTTGTCTCTTGAAAGGAAATCAGACTCAGCAGGTCAGACTGAAATCAGTCAGTAAATTCTTGATTGTTACATTTCTTTTATTTATTCTTGCATCGCAAATTCCAGAATGTTTTTGTTCATCTCCATAATTCGGTCAGACATGGTGGAACGTTTTTCATTAAGGTTCATTTTGAAACATAATGTAGCACATCATGTCTAATAAAGTCTCAATGATCATTCAGGGATACCAACAAGTTTGTTTACATAAGTGGATGAGACAGAACTATATATGTATCTGTATGAGAACCACATCTATCCTGAAGCAAACCCTGTGTAATATTGTTCAGAGAACATAAGCATATCACATCAGCTCCAAGCAAATTTACACTTGGATCAAGTATTAAAATCCCACAAAGACCAGATTTAATACTAGTGTTTTTGCTCATTTCCATGGAAAGACCTGGCCGAGTTTGTGTTTCTGGGCTTGTTCCTGGCTGAGATGACCATGAAAATGTACGGCCTTGGACCCCAGAGCTACTTCCACTCTTCTTTTAACTGTTTTGATTTTGGGGTGAGGCATCCTGCACTGCTGGGAACTTTGTCACTGCATGTGAATATGATTTGTAACCTCAGTGATTTTTACCCAATATATGTGTCAATATATGCCTGTGCCATTTATTTGCTTGTGTGTGCAGGTCATTATTGGGAGTATTTTTGAGGTGGTCTGGGCTGCCATCAAACCTGGGGCTTCATTTGGTATCAGTGTCCTGAGGGCGCTGCGACTACTCCGGATCTTCAAAGTTACCAAGTCAGTCACTGGGACTGTGTGGCTGTTTCAGACTGATTAGATCTTATAAATGCTGTGGTTCATGTGGTTGTGTGTGTAGGTACTGGAACTCTTTGAGGAACCTGGTGGTATCCCTACTCAACTCTATGAAGTCCATCATCAGTCTGTTGTTCCTGCTCTTCCTCTTCATCGTGGTCTTTGCTCTGCTGGGAATGCAGTTGTTTGGTGGACAGTGAGTCTGTTTTGGACATGTTTCTATGTAGTTTGTTGTAATTGTTTACTTTAAAAATGAATTCCTGTCGAATGTGAATTTTCGATAAACCACAACATATTGTGACTCACATGGCACTGGGCTAATGTTTTTAGTATCTCATTTAAAAGAATCCTATTTTCTCCTGACTTTTGACATTTAATGTGTCTTAAAGAACCAATTGTTAAAACATGTTTAGCTGTATCTTAACAACCAGATTCCAAAAATAACAACATGTACACTCAGTGCTCAATTATAACACAATTTCTAGTTTTGAGGTTTAATTTTATTGTTGAACAACTACAGCTCTCTTGGTCAATACAAAATGTTAACCTTTCAAACTTGAATGTTTAAGAAAAAATAAAAGTGAGATTGTGGCTTTCTTGGAACAATATCTATGTGTGCATGATTAGTGTGCAGCTATTAGTGTGCAGAATTATTATGCAACTGAATTAAAACTGAAAATGTTGCCATCTCACTTGTTTATTGTCAAAGACACTTTGGTTTATAAAGAACTGGGTTTCAGACCTCAGCTGACACCAGCAGAGAGTTTTCTGGAACAGTAATGAAACTGAACCCAGAGAGAGATCATCTTTCATCTGAAGAAGAGCTGGGGGGGATTCAGGATCTTTTCTCCTCTCTCCAGGTTTAACTTTGAGGATGAAACTCCGACAACCAACTTTGACACATTCCCAGCTGCTATTCTCACTGTGTTTCAGGTAAATACCAAGTCCTCTATTTTTTGTTTGTTTATTTACATTTTAAATCTTCTCATGTGAGATGGACTCTGTAAGCAGGTTTTGTCTGTCTTCTAGATTCTAACTGGGGAGGACTGGAATGCTGTCATGTACCATGGGATAGAATCTCAGGGTGGTGTGCGTAGAGGAATGTTCTCCTCCATTTATTTCATCATTCTCACTCTTTTTGGAAACTGTATCCTACTTTGATGAGCCAATTCTACTCATTTAAGTCCTAGTTTCATGCAGTTGGATTTTACAGAATATGTAGTTGGTAGTACTGACTGTTAGTACTGATTTTTTTCCTGTTCTTTGACATTCTTTTCCCTGAGCCATATTAACCAGACACACTGCTCAATGTGTTCTTGGCCATCGCTGTTGATAACCTTGCAAATGCCCAGGAGCTTACAAAGGTATTCAGGTTCATCATTAGATGTTGAGGGATGATCCCAGATTGCATCTATGGACTTCTGTAACTTTTGCTATATAAACCTGATGCACAAAGTGAGCATTGCACTTTTCCAATCTGGCTAACAAATTCAGATTGCATATGTGGCAGAGTGTAAACATTGTGGGGAAGTGGAGGGGGCTGATGCACCCACAGGTGGAAGGCCTGTTTTGTGCCAAGAATACAGCCAAAACTTAAATATGAATGCCATACAGTATTATTCAATAAATTAGGATATACATCCTGATTATGCTTTTCAGATTTCAGTACCTTATGAAAATAAAAACTTTTTAGCAGCTATTGAACATACTAAGAAATGTAAAGAAGTCATCTAATTTATTTACAAGTGCTAAAACACTTGAGCACTTGATTCAAGAGAGGACAGTTGGAGTGTAGAACGACCATCGATGTATTGGGTTAGACGTCGCCTATCAGCTGCTACAGCTAGTGACGTGAACCTGGTAGATGCCATTATTATGCATTGAGTGATGTCCACAAAACTATACTGTTCTAATGCAAGATGAACAGGAATCTGTCACAAAAAATGGTTGTAGTCCCCATATTTCTTATCCAATTTCTATAAAATGTTACTTATTGTTTTAGAATGATACATAGCAAACCACCGGGATGCAGAACTGTATTCTGCCCGGCCTGGAGCTGTGCTGCTGCAGCCATACTGAGTTCCACATGATGGTGATGAGGCGATGCGCCTCAGAATAACTTCACCTAGTAGCCTATCTGTAACACCTAAAATAAAACACTTATTTACATCAGACTTTCTTTGAGCTCAAATAAAACATTGCCTATCATGTTATAGTTTTTCCCTGGCTTATTTTTTGATATTATATTTAGAATTCCTTGTTGCACTTTCTGAAACATTTGATAGGATGCTTGCTGTTGTTTTTGTCAGTTTCTTTATTATTTATGAAACAACTATTTTCCATTAATTGACTGTTACACTCCTAATCGCGCTGAATCAACAGATTAAAGTTGTTTTGTTTTTGCTCTTTTGGTGATTCTTGTGAAGTTATTGGTGTATTTAAGTGCGCTGTCCTGGTGCAGAGGTATCAAGCAAATTTGCAATTCAGTACACTTATGTTTGTGTTTAAAATCAATTCAGTACAGATTTTCTTTATCTGAAAGAAATATATATATCTGAGGTTTGATTGACACCAAACCTCAGATATATGTATCAGTGTTGAAAGTGGAAAAAGTGGATCAGTCCACTCCATATGAATACTTTACATGTGTAGGTCAACATTTTCACAGATAGACTAGAAATCTCTTCTATTTTGTTCTATTTACTTACATTTGATCTACTATTCAGGATGAAGAGGAGCAGGAGGAGGCAATCAGCAAAAAGCTGGCTCTTCAGAAGGCTAAAGAGGTACAGGAAGTCAGCCCTATGTTGGCTGCTAACATTTCAATCACAACGTAAGTGAGCCTTTTCTTATTTTTTTTTTAATGCTTTAAGTTTCTTCTTTTATTTCTAAATTCAGTGGAAAGGACAGGAAGTCTTGTCTAAAGTAAGCCTGTCTTTAGCAGAGTCCCTCAGGTCAACAAGACTTCCTGTCCTTTCCACTGAATTTAGAAATAAAAGCCTTGAAATCTTTCAAGGTCTTACGGTAATATTTACCCAAAAACTCTGAACAGCATTTAGAGAGGAATATTTTGTGTTTGAAGAATATATATGTTTTAGACACCATTGCTAAATACCTATCTTTCTGGGTTGAAGCAACAATCTCCTGGCCTATCAACTATTGTGACTGTGAAGTAACTCCAACCTACTGCTGAATATTCCAGTGCCAGATCATTGAAATACAAAATTCAACTTTTGTATTTATCATATTAACTTTGAACGTTGATGTTCTTTTGATAAAAATAACATTTGGCTTTGATCCAACATCTCTAGTCATTGGTTTGTGAAGTTTCTACTTAACATGATGGTTATAGATGAGTGGACCTGTACCGGATCCAGAAAACACTGAAAGGAAGCTCCCTGGTCAGATGTCCAGACAACCTCTGCTGACAGCTTATTGTTTTCAAAGTTACAAATGAAGGCAACTGGACCTCTCTTGTTATCTTGAAGACATTTCAATGTTCTTCCAAAAAGCTTCTTCAGTTCTTAAACTTAGGTTGGAAGTCTCAGGCTTATCTTACACATTTTAATCAGAAAGAGTCACACTGAGAGTAATGGAGGTCACTAACCAGACAAGTGTGTCAACTTGTGCAGTGTGTTAATCACATCTCAAGGTGCGAGTTTCTGTGAAGCTGCCTGAGACCAGGCGAAAAGATGGAACTTTACACCTTGAACATCTTTGTTGTTTGGTTTTCACGTTTCACTTAGATGGTCAAACCATGTTCAAGGTGCACATTGTTGTCTTCAAAGGAGAGTCTTTAGTCTTTGAGATGTAGATAAACTGCTGAGTCTTGGCCTGATGAGTTGGTTCTGATGAGTTGAGCCATCCTCTTGTGCAGCTACTGTTTTGTTTCTACAGTGTAGAGGAGTGAACAGTCCTCGCTGCAACGGGCTGCATGTGTTTGGGATTTTTGTCCTTGTGTCCTTTTAATACTTGTTCGAAATTCTTTTTTTTTTTTTTTTTTTTCGTTCAATAATAAAGAAATACAGTAGCCCAGCATTCAAATAACACATTTATGGGGTATAGTTTTTCTGCATTCTTGGATCTTGGGTTTCTAATTTGTGAAAGAAATTATAAATCACATAAGTTTGTCTAGTATGAGATTTAAAGGACATGTCCTGGTACACTAAGGATCTTTATATTGGTACTGGAGAACAAGATGTTGCCATTCAGATGAAGTGACTGACTAAGTAGTTGTTTGTGTCTTTTATCTATTTTTATTTTATTTTATTTTATTTTATTTCGAACATGATCGAAGTATAAAATCACACACAATTATTTGATACTCTGGTGTAAAGATGGTTGCTTCTATCTTGTCACAATCAAAAAGTAAAAAAGAAAAAAAAAAAAACAACAAAGGCCATCACCTTAACAATGGAAATGTATTTTAAGTTAACAGATATGTAAGATGAATTGGTCCAAACCCTGAGGTACTCCATAACTAACATAAAGAAGTAAAGCTTCTTACCATGAACTAGCTGTTCACTATTTCATACTATTTAAACCAGACCAACATAATGCCCTTGAAGCCTACAACATATTCAAGCATCTGCAGAAGAACATTAATGAATGTTAAAGCAGGAGCAAGAAAAAAGCATATTTTCTGTTTTAATTTATTTTTTTTTTGCTATATGCTGCCCATCCTATTTTTAGTTTTCAGAAATGGAACCCCTCCCTGTCTTCTTTTGTGCTTTTATGTATAATCTCTGTTTTCCCTTTCAAGTCTCCCTCTCCCCCCTCTGTATTTCAGTATCGCTTCCTTTTTATGTGTTTGTGCTGTAGGAGTTATGTCTGCACCCCAGTCCATCACTACCTGAGGTAAAAACCCAGCTGTTTCCACACAAGTTGGCCAATGATGTTGGCCAAAACATACATATCCATGTTGTCACAGACCATGTGATTAAATCAGAACTACCTTTTATTCATAACACATTTCAGGCTTTTCTGTTCATCTTGTTTTCCATTTGAAACTTCTTGGATTTTGACCTTTTTCAGTTGCCATCATAGACTGTGCTGTGAACAGATTGACATCTGCTCTATTACTGGCATATTAACCTGGAATTGTATCTGTAACATCAGGGGAAACTGGAACTAACTACAAAAGGTGCATGCATACAGCTTCCTCGGTTTATTGTAATCTGAAAATACATTTCAAATGGTTGTGTATCAAAGCATGGTAATGGAACCATGCTTGAACTTCAGCCATGACCATGAGCAGCTCTCTCCACAGCAGACTGGGATCTCTGGTACTAGTCTTCCACTGTGCTCAAAGCCCCATTGCACATGTTATCAATCATTCAGCATTAAAATACAATTTGTGTCATCATGGGATTACAAAATGTTGTACTTTTGAGTTTATATACCATAAAGACTCATAATGAAAGTCTGTTTTTCATTGAAAATGCTAACTGTAAATCATTTGTCTACAAAAAACAAGAACAGAATTGAAATTATATTGTGCATTACTATGTAATATCAGTGTTTCAGAGGTCATGTTTTTTTTTTTTTTTTTTTTTTTTTTTTTGATCTTTGGTTTCCTTTTTACTTAGCAATGAGCAGCAGAGGTCAGTCAAGACGATGTCTGTCTGGGAGCAGAAAGCCAGCCAGCTGAGGAGGCACAATCAGGCGAGCTGCGAGGTCTTATATGATCCCGAGGAGTGTGTCCGCCTCCCCTCTGGCCTTCAGATGCGGCCTGACATGAAGACCCACCTTGACCGGCCCCTAGTTGTTGGGCATTCCGATGGGCTGTTGGTGAGAGGCCATCAACATCACCGTCACAAGCCGGGCACGCCGGAGGAAGCAGAGACTGCCGCTGATCCACCGTCTGCTCCGCCTCATTCTCATCACCGTCACCACCGCCACAGAGACAGAGGGCGGGCTAAGGTGAAAGAAGAGCCTAATGACAGCGGTGGTGACAGTGGGAAAGACGGGAGGCAACACGTCCATCACAGCCACTCCACAAACCATGACTACAGCTGTAGACAAGAGGGGAAGAGCGGGAGGTCCTGCAGCACAGATAGGAGCAGAAAGCATCACCATCACAGTTCAATGGATGAGAGTGCAGGTGGGGGGGGCACAAGAGAGAGAGAGCATCGGCATCATCATTCACATCGACAGTCCAGAGGGGGGAATGGGACAGTGAATGGTGGAGGTCGAGGCGAGCACAGGGTTCACCGTAAAGATGGTCGATCATCTAACAAAGATGGGGAAAGGGAGGGCAAGAGGAGGAGGCATCACACACACGGGTCGAGGAGTCAGTCCAGGGCTGAAGGAGAGGAGTCAAATGAGAGAGAGGAGCCAAATACTAACAGGTACAACTATTCATCAACAGGCAGACTTCAGTTCTGTCTGCTATTGATTTAGTTTACTGTCAGCAGCAGGAGATCAACACAAAATTCAAATTCAGACACATTTAACATCCCTGCACCCCAGAAAGAAGGGATCTGTTAAAAACCTTAACAGAGGTCATCAAAAGTATTAACACTGACAGTGTTAAAACTGTTAATGTGGCTCTCACAGCTTGATCTGAAACACAAACCCACCAACCACCTTGTCAGTACAGGATCAGATCCATGTTTGTCATCAGAACCACTGTAACTCTCCATGGCATCAAATTACATAAACCTCCTTCCCTCCTCGTTCTGGACAAACGAGGAGCTTTGAACATAAGAAAATCAACTTCACCAAATCATCACAGCAATTTAATGCCTAAATGCATTTTTTTTACCCACAACTTGTTTATGTCACTAATTGCTGTAGTGGTGAGCTGATAATGCTCTTTCTTTTAGGGATCAACTCTTACTGAGTCAGGTTTCAGGTGACCAGAGTTATGAAAACACTGGAATATAAACATGATTCTCTTGGAACAGGTTTGGTGACTCAGATGACATTTCCCAGCAGCCAGGCTCTCTGGAAACGTCTGGCCAGCCAGAGGACTCAGACAACCAGAAGAATGTCAGAAGAACAGGCCAGACCTCCATCCGCATTCCCCCTGTGACTATCACCACACCTGGAGAGATCACTATGATACAAAGTTAGTACTCTAATGGCTTCAGAATGCACATTTATTTCCTGAGTTCATTGGTTTATTTCTCCAAAGTATCCTCGTTATTCCATAGTGGTTGTTTGGAGATTTTATGTTGTCTTGTAAAATGTTGGCTCATGTTAAACTAACTGCCATGTGTTAATCATTATTCTCTGTCTTCACAGTGAATAGTACTGACAATGAATCAATGCCTATGAATGAGAAGAACCTGAAGGATCAATGTCACTCTGGACCAAGACCCATCTTACCTTACAGCTCAATGTTTATCTTTGGACAGACCAACCCGTGAGTCACCTCAGTCTGCTCCGTCCATCTCTCCATCCATCACTCCTTCCTTCTTCACTTCCTCTGTTCCTTCCCTCCTTCCTTCCTTCCTGCTCTCCCCCCTCCCTCCATTAGTAACTTTGTCAGAGAGAAACACGGCTAAACATAGAAGCCAGTGGTACAATCTAAGAAAGAAAGCAGCTAGTCTCAAATCCATCCAGCTGTCATGAATGATTTTAGCAATGACGGTCAGCAAATGATTTTACTCGTGTGCACATTAAAACCGCTGTCATTATCAATACAAATATATTAGTATTTTTTCCCCTTTATTTATTATCACTTATCTCTCACCAACACCCACAGAATTTATGCAGTAATATATTCAATCTGTTTGCTTAAAAAACGTCAGTCTGGGAAGTAAAACCTTGTATCTCAATGAGTTAAGATGTTGAAAAGATTTTAAACAGAAAAAAAGTAAGACATTGTAAAAGTCGAAGAAGTTCATACAGTGACTCTCGAATGCAAACCATTTTAACAGATCAAAAAACACAACATATTCAAAAACACATTAAGCGCAATTACAAATTAAGAAAACACAACATTATCTACTCAAACTGTTCAAAATTCTCCCTCTTTTTTTTTTTACATTGTTTTATTGTCTTTGAAGAGATATGTCATTTCCTGTCAGAACCAAACCTGGTTGAATGTCTCTTTGTCTCGCTCCCTTTAGGGTGAGGCGGTTATGTCACTACATTGTGACCCTGCGGTATTTTGAGATGTCTATCCTGGTTGTTATCGCAATGAGCAGCATTGCTCTGGCAGCTGAAGATCCAGTCTGGACAAATGCCCCTCGCAACAATGTAAGACAGACCTAATCAGTTGCTCCCTTTAGTTGGTTTTGTTTTGTTGGTGGGAGGTTTACCTTGTGATTGAAAAGAGTGAGTTAAAAAATGAATAACTCTTTTTAGTAACTTCTGAGCTCACCTCTGTACTCCATGTCTGGTGCCTATAACAGGATACAGCCATTTAAAGGTTGAATAAATTCAATGATCTCTGCATATTCAAAGTGACGGTAATCGTGCACCTAGCTGGGATTTCCAGCAGGAGCTGATGGAAGCTCCTCCTGTTGTGAGGACATGAAGGCAACATGGAGGGCTGGATTTACAGTACAAATTAGGACAAAGGGGTGGAGTAGAGTGACTTTTTTCTCGTTTCTTCTGAGACAGAAACATCATTGTCTCAGGTCACATCATCAGTAGAGAGAAGAGAAAGTAGCCGACTTCAGTAAAATCCTGAAAAGTGATTGACTTTCAGAAGGAAGCAGAAATTCATGATGCTCATTGATTCCACTGAATCTCTGCTGCAGGTAGTAACTGTGTCAACACAACAGTTTACTCAGTCAGTATCACCATTTAAGATCATCCAGTGTGTATGGCAGAAACAAATAATCAGGAAACAGCAAGGCTAATATGAAAGATGAAAAGATCATGTAAAGCTGAAATCACTCCTGACCAAAGGATAAGAGGAGGAACAGAGTCCTTTAAGGGCAGTGGGACTGAGATACTGTACACTAATTCCAGATCCAACTGTTCTACAATTTGTATTTTAATTCACACTGTATTAACTATAATTGTGTCACATCTGTGTTAACACTTATGCAACATGGTCTGTTTTTTTAGGTGCTCAAATATCTGGACTATGCCTTTACTGGGGTTTTCACATTCGAAATGGTGATCAAAGTAAGACGCCACCACTGACTTCCTCATTTTCTACTCTGTTTTCAAAGACACAATAGTGCTTTGCAAGAGGATGCATAACTCTTTTGTTGTACATTATGGTATATTTGATATGGATTTTATGTATTAGACCAATGCAAAATATTACAGGACTGTAAAGCGGAAATAACATGATTCACAATTTTCAAAGTGTTTTCTCAATAAGCATGTTTATCCAACTTTCTTTATTCTGATACCGTTATGTCAGGATACCCCTAATCAGAATCAATGATCACAACATGAAATGCACATCTCGTGGTGGCAGCATGTTGGAGTGTGTCTCTTATGTTGGTTCTGGTTTGTTCTTTTTGTAGACCTTTATTCTTGGTTTGTTTATTGGTAGTTGATAGTTTCATTATTTGGACGGTTGGTGCCTTTGGTTTTGGATGCTGTGAAACTGTAAGGATTTTGGTTGTTACTTTTTTACTTTCAGACAGTTGTTATACATAACCGTGACAAAAACTGGAAACAAGTGATTAGCATCTCAAAAGCTTAGATAACACCTCAACTTTTACACACAAAAAGACATTTAATAGAGTTGCAAAAGCAAATGAGGTGGATTCGCAGTGCTTACCGACAACTGACTGGTTATCCAGGACATGCTATGGAATATTGTCTCTGCTGCCTGGATACTGAGCTGTTATAATATGGCAGTCTTCAGTCAGAGGCCCCTTTAGATTTGTTGCCAGACAGACTGTTACCAGAGATCCTTCTTGCTCACAGCATCACCACCCACTGCTACTCTAAAGGTACTTTGGCCATATGACTTACATCACTATTTAATTTCACTTTGGAATGATAAAGTATTTTTGAATTGAATTGAAATATGGAATAAGCACAGATTTCTAAAAAGTTGAAAAAAGTAATAAGGTAATTTGAAATCATCTGAATTTATTAGAACCAAACTGATTAAACACCATTTTTGTCAACAATTTAGATGGTGGATCTTGGACTGCTTCTCCATCCTGGATCTTACTTCAGAGACCTGTGGAACATTCTGGACTTCATAGTGGTCAGTGGGGCTCTGGTGGCATTTGCATTTTCGTAAGTTCAGCAGCTTCTACCTATTTGCTGTAAAATTAGAAAATGAACATGTACACTACAACATTAAACCACATTATACAGAATTTAAGAATCCAATATTGCCTTCAAGGTATATTGGCTTCTGTTTTTTGGGGGTTTTTTTTTTAGAATGCCCTGGGTTTCTCAATCTCTTTGATAGCTTTGATAGCTGTAAGAGTTCTGTGGGGATTTTCAGTAAACACCAACACTAAGGGTCCTTTGTTATTGAATTGAAATGAATTGAAATACAGCAGAAGCACTATATTATAAGAACTCAGATATGACTGCATATCTGAGTTGTATGTGGTAAAATGTTGTCTAGAATATGTTGCACAAGCGCAGACAAAGTGCTAGTGATGAGTGATCTTCTAGTTTGTAGATTACTGTTGAGTATCTGGTATGATCACCATGAGCTGCTGGCACAAAAATTATTTAGGAGGGGCAAAGGAGAGCATCTTGAAAATCTAAGAACACGGCAGAGAAAACACCGTTAGGTGAGAACTATGACACTAACATCAGTGGAATCTGTCCTCACACAAGTCGAAGAGCAACTCACTGAGCTGAAGTGACTCTCCATAAGCAGTAGCATTATCACCTGGATATGTGCAGTGTTTAAAAAAGAACACTTTTTTAATGAGACACTGCTACTGCATTATTAAAATTATTAAACAGTTAGGTTTTATAGTCTAACTACTTTGCAGTACCCAACTATTCTTGTTCTTCTATGAAGAAGAACAAGAATAGTTTAGTATTTTTAGAATAGTATTTTGTTTGGTCATGATGCACAAAAGCATCTTCCTGCTGTAGGTTTCACAGATGAACCGTTTTGGTGGCACTGACCACTGAGAAGTCCCATCATTCATCCCTTTATATCTCTTACTGACATGAGGAGCTGGAGCTCTCTGAGAGTTTTTAAATCTAATTTGAAAATATTGTTTAAAACTGCTCGGGTATGTGAACATTAACTGCATGACTGTGTGTTGTGCCAGTCAATGGGCTTGAGTGTGTCTGTGTGTTGTGATCGAAAACTTTATTGTTGTATTGTGTATCCATTAGATTTTGCTATGATCTGGTACAGAGCATCAAATGTTTGAGTTATACATTGTCCCTTTTTAAATGAAGTTCATTCGTTTATGATGACCTACATATCCAAGCTGATCAATGCTACAACAAATATTTCCATCATAATGCATTTCAGTTGAATCTCATCCATGTAAATTAATAACGATGCAAATAATTGTACATATCTGTGATTTATCTCTGGTTGCTCACTTTGAAAGCCATTATTTGACATTTAACTGTAACTGAGATCTGAAAGAACAGCTTTTATTCTTTGGTGATGTACCTATTTGTACTTTTATCTGAATCAGCCAGGAAAGATGTTTAAGTAAATAATTTTAAATGGAATGGGAGTATGAATGATATCTCTACATCATGTAATACCTCATACCTTCTTGCTGAATAACAACAAATTAAGAAAAACTGCTTCTACAGAAATAGCTTTTAATGTTGATTCTGGACTCATTCTAGATGGGATTCTGCTTGCATTGCCAGGCTTCCATAAGGCTTATGTTTTTAAGTTGGATCCATTGCATTGTTGTGATCACTGGCATACAGGATTTTACCGCCTTATGATTTCAGGGATGTATTGCTCAAAATGAAACTGTTTGAGCTCAACTTTTATGTACTAAATATACTGCTCAAAAAAATAAAGGGAACATTTCACTTTAATTTTGTGTGTGGCTCCAAATCCAGGCCTCCATTGGTTAATAAATTTGATTTCCATTGATGATTTTTGTGTGATTTTGTTGTCAGCACATTCAATTTTGTACAGAACAAAGTATTCAATGAGAATATTTCATTCATTCAGATCTAGGATGTGTTATTTGAGTGTTCCCTTTATTTTTTTGAGCAGTGTATTTTATGAACTTCTGCTAAACCTACATATAGGTTCACAGTAAATAAAAAAGAAAATATTTCTCTTTTATCTGACTTGACTGTGATTGGAACTGACAGATGTGTGTGTGTCAGTATGTGTAACAGTTTTGACATGCACCTTTTTCCTGTTTCTGTCACGGGATCTCTTTGAAGGAGCTTCATGGGGTAATGTCTCCTCTACTTCTCTCACTCTGCCTGTTTGTCATTATGTATGTGAGAAGGAAGCATACATGACCAACACTGCAAAAGCAAGAAGTTTCCTGATATGTTGCGTCTTACATAAACAAAAACAGAATTTTTCAAGGAAGATATTGAACATATTTTCAATAAGTTCTAAAAATGAGGGTTTTGGATATGTCTCAGTTAGCTAAAATTCTTGCTAAAAAGTATTCCCTATCTGAAAAAGGACAGAACGGATTTTATACATTTCTCAGTTTTGTTCTTGAAAACACTAATCTTCCTTCAGCCATTGCCCTGAAGGTTGTGTCAAGAAAGTGTTTATTGGTACACTTTCTAAATAATAATTATTTGGTGGTGCTAATAATTGTGGCAACTAAACAGCACAGTTCAACATAGAACTGCTTCCTAATCCACATTTGACTTATTTCTGTTTTGTAAGACGTTGCATATGAAGTGAAATTACTTGTGAATAATTGCAGGGATGTTTTGGAGTGCTGTGTTGCTGGGGATGTACTCTTATCACATTCTCCATCAAATATCTCCTTGTACTCAGCTGCCATATTGCTTGGTGAAAAGTCATTTTCCCATAGTGCACCAGGTGCTACAGAAGGACACATCACCTGCTTGTTGGCTACATGTTGCAGCAGCTCTTGAAAGAGCCGTTTTCATCAGCATGTCCTGTCGCTGCAGCTCCACTTGAATGAAAACATAAGTTCATTTTCAGTGTTTTTCATAATAATGTGAATAGACTTCTACATTCTCACAGATATTTTGTAAGTACTTTGTAATTGTTTTCTTGTGCATAATGGCAGTTCTTGTCAGGTTCAGGGTGAAATTACTTTTTCACAGTGTGTCAAGTGGATTTGTTGCATGTACTTAAAAACATGCAACAACTACTTTTCCTTTTAAGTAGTAAAACCCTTATTTAAAAAAAATGGATTTTGTGTTTACTTAGGTCATTATTGTTTTATGATCTGAAAAATCTGGAAATAGCAAAAAGGCAAAAGCAGAAGGAATCTCTAAGAAGGGAAATACATTTTCATAAGACGTAAAAGCACATGAACCTGAGATAAAATTTCCAGCTGAGTAATTTAAAAGCCTACATAAAGCATAACATAAAGAGAAGCCAACATTAAATCATACAGCCTCTTGCTTTCTGGTCACCTCCATGCCGGCAATTACCGTTTGACTGAGGGCCGTCATTCCTTGACAATGCATGTTGTCAGGAAATGCCATGCAGTTCTTCTCCTATAAAAACTGCAAAGATGTAAATGAAAAAGTGTGAGTCTCTCGCCTGCTGCAACCAATGGTGCAGCACACACACTTCTGCTTTTTAGTGCATGCAACAGGCTGAAGAGCTGTCTCTGACTTTAGGTGCTGTTCATTAACAAATTACTGATGTTTGTGATATTTGATACATTTAATTATTCTTATTTAGAGCCTTGGAGAACTCATTTTTTCTGCTGTTAGTTAACTTTTTGTTTAGTGTAAACGCATTCATAGCTGTATGTATTTACAAAACACTGACTGAGTAGAGTAATTGCTTGTTATAAAACACTTCTGATTAGTATTTTTTGTAATAAGCTGCTTCTAAACATTATACTTTTATTTGGATCTTGTAATTTTTTATCACATTAGTTGGATGTATTCAACCAGCAGTCTGTTAAAAACCAAAGTATAAAATGTTTTGCTTTTCTGTAGAAAATAGACCTTATGTAGTGTTGTCATTTGATTCAAATGTGTGCTTTATTTTGTGTGTGTAAAGCATCCATAAATGTGCTGTACCTTGTTTTACTACTGTTTTCCCCCAAGTAGATCGCAGCAAGCTGTGACCAGGTGGGGAACCCCCCTATGCCAGCCCACCCTTCATTCTGACTCCACCCCTTCCTAACCCTCCTCTCCCTGATCATATTACTGCTCAGATCAGCTCCATGAACTCAATGTAAAACTTGTTTTCCTGGAAAGCAGAGCTTTGGATTGAAACATGCCTCTGCTGACCAAAGCTGTTACAAAAGTTATTTTGTCAAACCACAAAAGCAATACAATGTGAGAGCATCATTTGAGAGGAAGAAATAGGAGTCCTGTTTACGCTTTTTGGAGTTTTGGTTGTAAATCGAAGTTTGTTGAAGAGTTACAGCTACGATCTGACCTGAGAGGTTTGGAAGGTTGATACAACAACATCCCACAGAGTACTGTTCAATCCATTATTAAAAACGGAAATGAATACAAAGACATGGCTGTTCACCTAATCTGACAGGCAGGCAGGAAGAGCATTAATTTGAGAAACAGCCAAAAAACCCATGGTACCTCTGGAGGAGCTGCAGAGACCCACAGCTCAGGAGAGACAATCCATCAGCAGGACAACTATTAGTTTTGCATTCTGAGAATCTGGACTTTATTGCAACAGTTGTGTCATTTGATCTGTTGCTGTGCAGAATTAACTAGAGTGGTACCAAGTGAAGTAAGACAAATGTTAAGCTGAGATATTGTTCATATTTTCATTGCTTGTCGTGATGAAACAGGAACTTATTCTGAAACGTTGCTGATTCTCACCAGGACAAAAACACACAATCTGTCACATTTTTCATGTTTTTAAACCTAAAGTTTTGCATTCAGTTTGTTTTTGAAATTCATTAAAAATATTTATCATGTGATCAATCCTCATATTAAGAATCTACTACTACAAGAGATGTTAGTTCAGAAACATAATAACTGTACATTTCAGACCATATAAGAAGCTGCTAATGTTTAGTGTTTCGTGTGTTTATAAAGTGTCTTGCATTGTATGCTAAAATGTTTTTACCATCTGCTTCCCTTACATAGTTGATCTGAAAACATTTCACACTCCTCCACATTTCAAATTTCTCTAAGCTCTTTTTTAATTTCATATGTTCCAGAGCTGACTGTTATTTTGTTATTTAAAAATAATTTTTTAAATGAATTAAATAATTTGATTAACTGTATCTAATTTATTTGTGATAAGTGTATAACAGACTCTGCTGTCCACAGGGGGACTAAAGGCAAAGACATCAGCACCATCAAGTCACTGAGGGTCCTCAGGGTTCTTAGGCCTCTCAAGACCATCAAACGTCTGCCAAAACTCAAGGTTCTAAAGTGTTTCTGTTTCATTACCTGTGCCTGCAGAAATATGTATGTGTGTATGAAATTCTGCAGTTTAGACCAAAATGTTCCCTCCTTAAAAGGGTTTTCATGTTCAAGCCCATAAATAAACTGCAGAAAATATATACACACACACAAACGCACACACATTTTAGACAATAGTAAAAATGGTTGTGTCTGTTAATATAGTGTATTTAAATATCTGGTTTAACTGTAAACCTTGTGTTCCTATTCTATGAGGTCATTAACAGACACAAAGACGCTGTTTGCTTTCAGCTGTTCTGTAAGTAGACTTTCAGGATGATGCAGACTTTAAACGTGTTTTCTTTGTCCCCAGGCCGTGTTTGACTGTGTGGTCAACTCTTTGAAGAACGTGCTGAACATCCTCATTGTTTACATCCTCTTCATGTTCATTTTTGCTGTTATTGCGGTTCAGCTCTTCAAGGGAAAATTTTTCTATTGCACTGATGAGTCCAAAGCCCTGGAGAAAGACTGCAAGTCAGTCTGATACACCTAAACGTTTTCATATCGTGCCAGACCTTTTACATTTGGTGTGTGTTTGCTTAACACGTGTCACCACTTTCTATCTTCCAGAGGACAATTTCTTGACTACGACAAAGAAACAGTGGCAGCAATGCCAAGAGAGTGGAAAAAATATGAATTCCATTATGACAATGTACTCTGGGCCTTCCTAACTCTCTTCACAGTCTCAACCGGGGAGGGCTGGCCAACGTAAGTGCAATTGATTTGTCTTCTTTAAGTTATACCGACCCCCAATATAACGTGTTGGAAGTAAAAACTAATTTTTCATTTTGCATTTAATGCAAAATTAAATGCAAGAGACTCAATTACACCTACTCTAACTGGAACGTTTTTTTTTTTTAAGTTTTAGACATATTTTGTTTGAATGATAATAACTACAAATAACATAAATCGCTCTTTTGGTAACTGATGCTGTCATGAAGCCAGAAGAATATAGTCAAATATAGGCAAAAGACAGAATCTCAAAAACGTCAAACTGATTTAAATTTTCTTTCACAATAATCCTGAATATCTTAAAAGTGCAATTAAGCATCCTTGACTAAAGAACCAACATCTGAAACCTGTCATTTTAGTTAGTGAAGTATTATCTTGATGCAAAATTTGAAAAAAATTATGAAAAGTGTCCAAAGTGTTCAATTTCCTTTAAGATGCTTGGCTTCACTTGCCTTATGTTAATAGAATAGCTTGTAAAATTCTCTTAATTACATGGCAGCCACAGTCAGGAGGTGTTTTACTGTGTCCTACCATTCTTTCTTTTCATAGTGTTCTGAAACACTCTGTTGATGCTACCTTTGAAGATCAAGGTCCCAGCCCTGGCTACCGCATAGAGATGTCCATCTTCTATGTGGTCTACTTTGTGGTCTTTCCATTTTTCTTTGTCAACATATTTGTTGCTTTGATTATTATCACTTTCCAAGAACAAGGAGACAAGGCCTTGTCTGAATGCAGTTTGGAAAAGAATGAGGTATGTTGTGAGTTTCTCTTATATGATCATGTCAAAGTTAGTTTCACCAATGCACACATTTGTATATAAGACATGTTCAGGAGTGCAGAAGGAGGAATGTGTCTGAAACTTTCCAAATAAAGTTTAAAAACATGAATGAGTCAAATTCAGGTAAAAAAAAAAAAAAAGATTTATTTAAACCTAATTCACTACAATACAACTAAATGTCCTTTTAAAGGTAATTTATAAAAGCACATCTTGCTAAAGGCTCTAACAGCATCAGTAAAGTCTCGCTCTGATTCAGCTATCCTGTAGGGGGTATGTAGGTGGGCAGGTAATCCAAGTCTAAAACCTCTGCTGACTAAAAACACAATGACAATGATCACACACACTGTCCAAGGTTAATATTTCAGGCTCACCAGCAAGTCCACCTCTGAATAAGGGTTTTGGAATGGCCCAGTCAAAGTCTGGAAATCAAACTGAGATACTTTTGCATGACATTATACTGACCACTCTAATATTTTCACAGTGATATACAAAATTCATTGCCACTTTTCATAAATGGCACAAAGCATTTGTTGATTTGTTAGGGAGAAACCCTGAGCATCCTCTTCATGACTGTTATACAACAACAGATTGAATTCAGTCAAAGTCCTTCTTAGATAATATGACTTCCATCAACATTTAATTTCCCTTTGGGATTATTGAAGTATTTCTGAATTTGAATTTGGACTGGCGACCTGTCCAGAGTGACCCCGCCTCTCGCCTGTTGACCGCTGGCAGTAGGGATTAGGGCATATGATAATGGATGGATGAATTTGAATTGAATTTGAATTACTTTTTCATATAGGGCGATATTCTCCTAATAAATCATTATTCAAAACTTGTTTTCCTCTTTTCTTTGTTCAAAAACGGTTATCTAAAACATTTCAGTTGACAAAGGGACAAAAACAGAAGAAATATGTAAGGAGGTAAATACTTTTACATAAAACTGGCCTTTGTCTATGTTGGCCAGTTCTATACCTTAGCAGTTGAAATCAGTTCAATCAGGGATGAATGTTTACTGTTGTTGTTCATACCTTGTGAGTTTGAACAAACCTGTGGAAAGATCAATATAAAGAGTGTTTTTGTGCTTTGCAGAGGGCTTGTATTGACTTTGCCATAAATGCAAAACCTTTGACACGCTACATGCCGGAGGACACACAGTCCTTCCAGTACAGGATGTGGAAGTTTGTCGTTTCAGCTCCATTTGAATACTCCATTATGATCATGATTGCTCTCAACACTGTGGTACTCATGATGAAGGTAAGGTGCATATTTTTTTCAATGTCGAGCTATGAGAATCTGGAATAAGTTCATGGAGAAAAATATTTATGCTGCTCCCTCTGTCCTGCTTTCCCAGTTTCATGGAGCTCCGGATTTTTATGAAGCAATGCTGAAGTACCTGAACATTGTGTTCACCACTCTTTTCTCTCTGGAGTGCATTCTCAAGATCATCGCCTTTGGTCCCCTGGTGTGTATCTATTAAAGGTTGGCTCTCAGATTATTGGGAAATAATTTGAGCCTTATAATTTCCGCCTTTTGTTCCTCAGAACTACTTAAAAGATGCCTGGAATGTATTTGACTTTGTGACAGTTTTGGGGAGCATCACTGACATCCTGGTGACTGAAATCAAAGTAAGAACACAACTCTCCACATTCTCAGTGCCGCATGTCAACATTACAACACTGTATTCAAAGAACAACTTTACAACACCGGCCAGTGAAATGAACCAGATCTGTACATGAAACTCTCTACAAAGACAGCACATTCGCAAAGACAGCTGTGTGACCAAAGAGAGCCTGACTGGTAAAGCAGAAGAGGAAGGGGATGTTTGTGTGATGGTAGGAGGGATGCATAGAAACTTACTCTAAAATATGTTAGCTATTTAGTCTTTGGTTGAGCTCTATCTGACCTGCTTTCAGCGGTGGAGTTACTCATTCCAAACTGTTTCTCTTATGACACCAAATTCTTTATACTGATGATTAACACGTGTATTTGTTGAGTAGTATCAGTTGTTATTGTATGATATGCTCCTATCTGCTGCATCTTATGTCTCTCTCTCTCTCTCTTTCTATCTCTCTCTCTTTCATTTTCTTTCTCTTTTTATTTCACTGCCGTTTGGTTTGTGCACCAACCTCCTCCCACCACCACTTCTTCCAATGTTTGATCCTGAACATGTCCAGACTACGGTGAGTGACTTTGTGATGCTGACTCTTTGCCAGCATAGTGTAGTACCTTTTCTCTCCAGCAATTTAATACTCAAGTTTAATGTTGACTTCTACTAGACCAAAGGTAGTAGCTGGTCTTTCATGCCCATCTCCAGTGTGGCCTGTGTCTTTCAGATTGTAGCTACCTGTAGTCCTGTAGCTACCCTTCCAGAACAGGTTCAGGATAACAGCAGAGGGAAGAAGTCCCCTTTGTCAAAAAGAAGAAACTTGGCAAGAGTCAGCAATAATGTTGTAATAAGTTGTGTAGAGTGAGTTTTTTTCTCAGTCTCATTATGACTCTGGTCAACACACCAACAGGCTCTCACAAAACTCCCCATCCACTCTATGGTAGAAATTTGATCAGTCATACAGATGAAGTTCCAGAAAAATGTTTTGAGCACACAACTTCATAGCTGCTGATCCCTCAAATGTTTTGACCAGTTTTGCTCAGAGTGTTTATAAAATTAAAGACATTGGATGTGCTTTTGTGTATTACAGGACAGACTATTGAATTTGAGCTTCCTGAGGCTCTTCAGAGCAGCTCGACTCATCAAGCTGCTGAGGCAGGGCTACACCATCCGCATCCTGCTCTGGACCTTTGTCCAGTCTTTCAAGGTGCTCTCACATAACATAAGATGGTCAGACTTTATCCACATTGTACCTTGCAAACTACTTCCTGTTGTCACAAAGTCCTAAACAACAACTTCTTGCTAAGTCAAATCAAGATGGGATAATTCAGAGGGAACATGAATAACTGTGTGTTCTGCCTTTAGGCCCTGCCATATGTGTGCCTGCTTATTGCCATGCTGTTCTTCATTTACGCCATCATTGGGATGCAGGTTTGTGTAGCTGTTTTGCAGCGATCGATGAAGATAATTATTTTTTGGAAGTTATTCTGAGTGAAATATTGACATCTGACTTTTTCAAACATTATATTGTTAATACATTCTTGAGTGTCTCTGCTGCAGGTGTTTGGGAACATTGAGCTGAATGAAGACACAGCTATCAACCACCATAACAACTTCCGTACTTTTCTCCAGGCTCTTATGCTTCTGTTCAGGTAGAAAGCAGCCTGATCGGTTATCTTCTTACAGATCTATGAACAATCTTTTGTCTTCTAGACACGTGGATGAAACAAATATGTTAAAACTGTGGACTGAACATAACTTTCTCTAGATCATTAAGGGCTCATGTCACTGTTGTTGGTGGCTTCACCAATGCTAGTTTCACACTTTTAGACTGTAAATAGTTTGCAATGCTATAAAAAGTAATTCAGGCCTAGCAGACTTCATGGAGATATCATAAACTGAACTATTGTTAAATGGTTAATGAGAAGGAACACAAAGTTATTGAATAAAGTTGGGAAATTTTACAAGATTATGGACAAATATGTGATTTATAGAAAGTTCAAAACAACAATTATGATTATTCAATGAAACTAGGTTGATCTTGTTGATTATTTTGAGGTCAGCCTCCTTCTTTCAAAGATTAACCCTTCCCTGATAAAAAAATAAATAAAATACTGTTTCATCATCTGCCTTGTATGTTGGGCTATTAGAAGCACATCAAGTGAGGATCTAAACATAAAGAAATGTGAAACATTAATGCTCTGATCAGATTTGTATCCACATCCACACAGGCAACTCATCCACATGTCAATATTTCTCTATTATGTGTCCTCAACAGAAACAAATAGAAATCCAGAACTTACTTTGTTGTGAAGGTCTCCTTCTACTGAATACAACAAGCTTTATTTGAATTATATTTATTTGAATTATTTGAAAGGGACTTGCATTCAAGTAGTTATAAATCCTCAAACTTTGAGTCTAATAAAAAAAAAAATAAAAAAATAATAAAAAAAAACATAATTTGGAAGCAAGTGTGATTGCTTCCAGGAAGCAATCACACAAGTCAGAGGTGAACGTTATGATGTTGGTTAATCTTTGTCTCCCTGTGTTTTCCTTTTCTGGACATCAGGAGTGCAACTGGAGAAGCCTGGCATGAGATCATGCTGTCGTGTCTGAGTCATCGACCCTGTGATGAGCTGTCAGGGACTAGTGGGAAAGACTGTGGCAGTGATTTTGCCTACTTCTACTTTGTCTCCTTCATCTTCCTCTGCTCCTTCCTGGTCAGCATCTAACTGTCATCAATTTATCAAACAGTTCATTTGAACTTCTAGAGATGATACTAGTAGTAGTTGTTTTTTTTTAATCTTAGTGTTTATTACTTTAGATTTATTTGTCAGGTTTGTGTTATTTAATATTTAGAGTTTAAGGGTGTTAAAAGATGAAATACTGACCTTGTTCAGTTTTGCAACAAATAACATGTCATTAAAGAGCATAAAATAATTAAAAGTAATTTAAATAAATCCAAATAAATAAATGTCATAACGTAAGCTTAACCATGTGTCTTGAATAAGCTTTAATAATAAGCTTTACAGGTAGTTTTTGGAGTTTGAAGTCTTTTGCTCTAGATTGAAAATGTCCATCTAATTTGATCCTGTTTGACTCCTCCTCCTCTTCATTTCCTCTTTCTTCTACTAACCAATTAACATGTCAAATCTATATGTTCTGTACATTTCTATGATCTTCAGCGTATACCAAAGTTATTTTCTTTCTGATAATCACACTCTGGTGAAATTCTAAGATGTGACATTAGTGACCTAATCAATCCTCATAGCACAAAAATTGTTGCTGTGAGGATTTAAGTCCTTACAATCTGATAAGTATTCATCAAATTCGGAACAGTGAGTCTTCCTAATGCATAGTTACATAGCTTTACACTATGGTAATAATTTCATTTTCATCAAGGTGTCAATGTATATTTGTAAGTAAAATTTGTCTGTGATAATTGTTATGTCATTGTATAAGTTGATTACCACTGATTTGGTGTTACATCCACCAAGGGCACAACATATTTCAGGACACAAGGCAAGAATGAGGGTTCAAAAAAAAATTTTATTCTTAAACTTTCTTGAACTTTTCTTTTGGTTCAGCTGCTTTGATTTTCTGTGAAGAAAAAAAGGGAGAGTTAAATACCCTCAGTTCCCCGTGTCCCAAAAAAGAGAAAAACAAAACCCCCAAAATATTAACAGAAAGTTGGACTTGGTGATCCAATCAAAAAGAACAAAACGGTACAGCAGGGGGCCGACCCTCTACATGGCTGTCGAAGCCCCTGCTAGTACCAGACTAAAACAAAAAAGAATATACTGCCAAAGAAAGATCGAAAACAGGACAACTGGTCCCACCAGGCCAAAATCACAACGAAAAAGCAAACAAACAAAGGCTAACAGAAACTACCGCATAGCAGGCTGGAGACGTCAGCTGCGTCCTACAGCGACTGGAGATGTGCGCGCACCGCATCAGGACACATCCTCTGTGGTGGTGGAGTGAGTGGAAGGGCAGGATCAAACATGTCGAAACCCATCGTATTTATAGGCAGACCAACAGTGCCACAAATAAAAGTAATCAAATTAATTACCAAAAATAAGAAATTATCCAAACTCCAGAATATATTAACAAAAAGTCATTCTACTACAGTCTATACAAAACAATCTAGAAAAAAATAGACAAAAATAATTATAATGTGCCTGAAGCACATAACAGTTAGTAAACAGTTTTGACTATCAAAGCTTTTTCAGAGATTAGCCTTTGTTGGAGACATAAGGGAGACAAAGACTAAATCAGATCTTCAGGTCTGGTGATGCTTACAGAGGCTTAATCTAACAAGAATTTCCTTTTAATCAACATTCATAGCAGTAGTTTTGAAATTATTACCAGAAGTGTTTTGAGCAGTGCTGTGTGTGTGTTCCAGATGCTGAATCTCTTTGTGGCTGTTATAATGGATAACTTTGAGTACCTCACCAGAGACTCCTCCATCCTGGGGCCTCATCATCTTGATGAATTCATTCGAGTTTGGGCCGAGTATGACCCAGCTGCTTGGTATGTTATTGGCTTCTTCTGATATGCAGCACATAGTTTTCTCAGTATAAGTGGAGAGAATCACCCTAATCTCATTTCTCATCTCTATTGGTGGCAATGGGGTCTATTGAAGCTCCATTCTCAGTCCTCGTTCCTCATTGTATGCAATGAGCCCACTGATGACTGATTAAGTTGAAGGTATCCTGAACGTTATGTATGTGCTTGTTCTTTTCCGCAGCGGACGGATTTCCTATATGGATATGTACAATTTGTTGCGCGTTATCTCACCCCCCCTTGGCTTAGGGAAGAACTGCCCTAATAGGGTAGCATACAAGGTTTGCAAATACCGGACATTTTCATCACTAGGGTGCTTTGTGTACCTCTATGCCAAGAGACTTTTAATTGAATGGCTGTGCACCAATGAAATCACCTTTACACTAGCACTCACCTTTTCAAACTGTCTGGCTTTGGTTGATGATGCCGAAGAGGAAACAAAGCTTTCATAGCTGTGGCATTGTCTCAACATGCCGCCTGCCAGCTTTCTTGTCTGTAAACTTTTATGTATTAGAATTGTTTTCTTTTTAACCATGCCAGAAAGGTAAATCCTGAAAGTCTTCATTGGTGAAACCAATCAATTCTTTTCAAATCAGAGACCTTTTGAAGAAGCTTTATGGAGGTGTTTTAGGAAACCATATCCATGATGAAAACAACATTAGAAACAGAACAAGTCAGGCTGGCACTGAAACCTTTGTCTCCATGCACCCTGATTGAAGTACCAGTGGAATGTCTGCAAGCATGCCAGAGCAGACATTCTCAATACAATGCTATCATTTCTCTTCCAACCCATCAGCATCCTGCGTGTTGGGTTGACCCATTCATCCCTCTTCTCTCCTCCCCCTTCCTTCTCTGACCAGACTCACTCTTTGCCATTCCATGTTTCCTCTCAGGAACCCTGAGTTCTACAGTGATGCATCCGTGTGCCCCAACACAGTGGCCAAGGATGGCATCCACCCTACATCTCACTTGAGGAAATCTATTGACAACAGATTTCTGTTTCTCCTCTCCATTGTTCTCCTGTTGATTTTTCTTCCCGATCCTTCTCTGTTTGCATTCTGTTATTTTTTTTCCCCCCAACCCTGTGAAGTGGCCGTATCAAGTACTCCGATATGTATCAGATGCTGCTACACATGCCCCCACCCTTAGGTTTGGGAAAGAAATGTCCACCAAGAGTCGCCTACAAGGTAGACCCTACTCTCTTTCCACGTTTTTCCCTGTGCAAAAACAGCGTTTCTCCCAGTGACGTGCTCTGCAGTGCTCCATGTTTGTTCTTTGTTTTGCTACTGTGCTAATACCTTTTTGGTGTAAGCCCCAGTCTTTTGTTCCCTGTCTTTACTGTTTTGTTCAGCTAGCTGCCTGTGTGAGCTGATGTTGTTCAGTAGTGGTTTAACTAAGCGAACTCCAGTTACAGTATTTCTAATGTTTATGGTAAACATTTGCTCCAGTAGGTGAATATTGTATTTAGATGGACTACTGTAGGTTTTGTTTGTGTGTGTGTGTCCACATGTGTATGTTCAGTTAGGCTGTTTGTGTGTGTGTGTGTGTGTGTGTGTGTGCTGTTTGTCTGGGCTCTTTTACACTCTTTGTGGTTCTGTCTTTCTACTCATTCCCTTCCATTGTTTTGCTCCTTTTGTTTTTTATTTCTTTCTAATGATAATACACCGCTAAATTAAATTAGGTTTCTATCTGGATATTACATTTAGGCAAAGGAACCCCAAGTTGGACTGTATCTGAACCCAAATGCATTTGTCTTTATTTACAGTAGGTATTTCCAGTACAGCTCTGTTAGCGCTGCTTGTCTTTGATGTTTCTCCCAGCGTCTGTAGATCTGTGTCCAGTTCAACAACAGCTGTGCTGCTTAGAGTCCAGTGTGGTGGTATCAGCAACACTGGACCTCCATGGGTCCAGTTGGATCGGTGATGTTCCGCAGGCAGTCTAGCTCCTGTTAGCATCTGAAAGAGCGTCCAGCTCTGCCTGTCTCAGCACGGCATTTATTTTGTAGCTCATTAAGGTAACATCACCTGTTAGAGCCTTTGTCAGTTCTGCTGGTATAAATGACTCAAAGTGTTCTGGAGAAATGTCCAGGGAACAGATTAAGTCCTTAGTTGTTTTCCGCTACGGCTCTCACACTGCGCTCTCCTTTCTTTCATGTGGGAAATTCACCAGATTCTCCTCAATTTTTATTTATTTATTTTTTTTAAATTACACTCAATAGTGACAGAGTGTGGCATTATCTAAAATTACACCAGTCAAATGCAGTATGATAAACAACTACTCAGGTAAAGTTAGCCTTCCTGTGTTTACTCTAGATTGCAGTACAAAATGGTCCCTTATGCGTCATCAACCCATCGGTGAAAAGATGGCGACCTCCGTGGGTGAAAAATATTTAAAAAAGATGTACATTTTGAAGTAATTGTGAGTTTGTCATATCATAAACAGCATTTTTTTAGGTAATAGGAATATTGCAACATATTTAGGTCATCATGTTCAACTAATCCTGGATCTTTTTAACAGCTGTTTCCAATATTTACAAGAGTAAAACCAAATAATGCCATGTCTCTACATGCCAGGCAGTTTGGTCACATAATGTAGATTTTTATATTTTCCCAAACAAAGACTGATGATCTAGAAGTTTCTCATTCTGTGTGTTGTACTGTTGATGTAAAATCTCTGGAAATATTGATTTTGGTGAACTCGTGCTCTAAGGTCCTTTGTAATATCTGGACTCTGGAAGGTGTGTGCTACCTGGCCAGCAGGAAAGAGGCTGGCTGTTAAACACCCAACACCTCCCATTATGGCTCTAAGAACAGTAATCTCTCAGTGAAGGAGGATGGCAATGTCAGCATATTGCTGAGCAAATGGTTATCCTTCACATGGTTTGTTGTGATGGTGAAATCTGGATTTGAACCCAGTATACATACTAAGGCAGGGTTATTCTAGACGTCTTTATTTACAAGAACATTCCTAGCTTCCAATGTGAGGCGTAGTTTTTCTTGAGTTTTCACAGTTGGCAACAGGATATGGTCCTGTTTTTTCATGTATTGCTGGGTGAGTGCTTCCTCCCTGTCTAATTTATTGAGGAGTAGTCCTACATTTTGCCTGAGCATAGATGGGATAAAGGAGCTGTCTCTTCTCCCTGAATCTTTTTTTTTTTTTAGTATACAGGGAACACACTGTCTTTCATGCAGAGCTGGAAACTAGATTAAGAAATCAGAACCATGGCTGCCCATGAAAAAGTTTAAAATGGACGTGTTGTACAGTAGTTTAAATGTTTAAGGAGTCAGAAAAAAGTAGAAACTGACTTATCAGGCTGTCCCTCAGTGTGCCAACTTATAATTTATTGATTCTGTTTTGCTTTTTTTCCCCTCCTCACTGCAGCAACAGCCACCAATTTAAGTAAGCTATGATATTGTTTCTGTTGGGATAGAGGTAACTAGCGACAGTGGTCTCTGTTGTTTGATTTTCATCTCACATATTGTTTCACACTATTATTATTTTTGAACAATTAAAAAATCCAGGTTGAAATTGTGCTGACTCCAGGTTTTAACTTTTGTTAAATTTCGGCATTAATACTCGCTACTAACTGCTTATTATTAATAATCTTTTGACTTCTGACTGTAAAAGTCAAGAAAGCAGCCTTTGCCCATTTGTACATGTGTTCCCCTCCATCTACCTAAAAAAAAAGCTCTTCCTGATCTATGTTTTATTAAAAAGGTTGAATACTGTATTGTTTTCTAAACTTTCATTTCATTATTTTCCCATTATTCTTTTAGCGTGCCTGTGTAATGGGCATGGACATGGTTGATATTTTCAACTCTATTCTAAATCAGGAAAAATTATTGGCTACATTGTGGAGCTTTGAGTTTAAATAAATAATCTAATAACATCTTTATGGACATCACAAGAGCATAACTGAGGTACCTGACACCCTTCACAGCAAATTTGTATTCAAACTTGTCATTCCGTAACTCCTATTCTTTGAAATCTTCTCTGTGCTTGGTGATCTTCTGATCATGTGCATGTGTCTGTGTGCGTGCGTGTGCGTGCATGTGTGTGTGTGTGTGTGTGAGCGTGGGAGTGGGTGTGTGTGTGTGTGTGGGTGTGTGTGGGTGTGTGTGTGAGT